CGAAACTATCTAAGAAAAACAAAAATGTCCTCCAAGACTAAACAAAAAAAGAAGAAAAACCCACTAAGTTATTGAGCTGACTAGCCACCAGATTGTTCTTCACATCTACCTGCACCTTTTCCCACCCCAGCTTGACTCCAGCTCCCCAATCTCTGATTTGTAGGAGATCCGCTCTTCCACCGAGTGCTGCACAACACCCCTAGCCACAGACCACCTTGCTACTTCAAAGTCTCCAGTAAAAGTCAGTCCCTTAGCCACTCTCTCAGACACTGATGAAACATTAATACTGGATCCATTAACATACCCCTCATACTCATTGTTTCACCTCTGAATCTCTCATCTTCTGCATCCACTCTCTCTTTTTGGACTTCAAAACCATTTTCTTGGAGCACCTCAAACTCTATCCACTCCAATTTAACTTCCTCCACTAACCGCTGCTTATATACTTTCACCTTCTTAAATATCCAGTTATTCTTTGTCTTCCATAACCACCACATTAGATAAGAAGACAAGGAAATTCTGTCCATACCCCTATCTGTCACCTTCACTTTGAACACCTCCTCTCACCACTCCTGGGAATTAGCCTATGGACATTGAAGCTTGTCCCATGAGATTCCTGCTAGCTTCTAGGCCTTTTGAACTTTTTACATCTAAGCAATATATGCTCCGCATCATCTGCTGCACTTCCACACAAGCAACATATCACATCAGAGTCCCTTACTCTTTTTGCGGCAAAATTTCATTTTTGATCCTATAACTTGGCCACAGTCCAAAAAACCACCCCTATATTGACCACTTTCAATTTAGGTCCTATAACTTGTCAATTTCATCATTTATGGTCCTATTTTATCCCACACCGGGATAAAAACATGACGTGGCGCCTAGTCAGAATTATTTAGGATTTTTTGGCATGATGTGGCATCCTGGTTGCCAAATGGAAATAACACTTAGATTAAATCTTTTTTAAAAAAAAAAAAAAATTAACCAAAAATTGGTTCTGCCAAAGTGGAAATAACCAAAAATTAAAAACAAAAATAAAACAAAAAATCAAAACCAAAGTGAAATTAAAAAGGAAAAAAAACTATGTCCCCAAACCACTGTTGCTCCACCTTCTCCACGAAAAAGTCTGCAAATTGAAAAACTCACGTCCTCACTAATCAAGCATGTTTTTCAAAGACTAACTTTTCCCATATATCATGCAACTATATGAATATACTTGTGCGCGCTTAATGTTGAGAAGATGAATATATGGTGGTTCGCAGAGAAGATGGCCGGAAAATTCTTTGCTGGAAAAAAATCATCGGTTCCGGCAACGGTGGACGTCACTAGATGCGGCTCGGCGAGAGGAGTTTGGAGGTACCTTCAGATTCACGTGGGTCAAAGCGGATCACCGGGAATTTGTAAAAGAAGGTCGAAAAAATTTTGTAGATCTACAAGTTTTGGCCAGAAATTGGAAGCCTTACCGTCGGAATTTTTGTGTGAAATTTCGATATGTTGTTGGCCCGGAGAAGAGCTACAAGATGACGTAAAAAATTTTAAAATCCCGGCGTAAAAATAAGTTATAATTATAGGGGCTCATCTTGGAAAATTTAATAACTTATAAAGACTATCTTGTAATTTTAATAATTTTAATTAATTGCACCTAAGTCCTAAAGTTGACTGGATCATTGAATTTTGAAGTCAAAGTTTTCTAATCCCGCCACATAAGTCACAATCATGCCATGTCAGATAAAAAATTGCCATGTCATGTTTTTATCCCGGAGTGGGATAAAATAGGACCATAAATAATGAAATTGACAAGTTATAGGACCTAAATTGAAAGTGGTCAATATAGGGGTGGTTTTTTGGACTGTGGCCAAGTTATAGGACCAAAAATGAAATTTTTCCCTCTTTTTGCCAATTAACCTTTGTATATATCCAGACAGTTGTGCCAACACCTCTACAAGAAGTTCTTCACCTTATTTTTGATAGGCAGCTTCCAAGTTTTTGCCCACATTCTTGCCTTGTTCTTCCTTCCTTCACTGGATTCAGCCTGCATACACCATATCTGTTACTTTTCTGAATAGTTTGATAAGCCTCCTTCACAGTGAAGTTATCTTTCCTGCTTGGATGCCAGATTAGCTTGTCCCTATTCCCACATTGACTGATAGGGAACATTTGAAGCATCATTTGGATGGAATGTTTGATTGATTAGCTTCATGTCCAATCTTTTTCCCCAGGCTCCATTATATCTCTTACTTTCAAAAGGTTCTGCTTATCTTCTAGGAAATGACACATAGGTAAGAAATTTCATGAGTTTGGAATCCATGGAGAATACCAAATGTCAATAAAACAACCATCTCCTACCTGAAATCTAATCCCTAGCCTCAAAGACTTTCTAGCATCAAGTCAACACTTCCACAACCAAGAATCACTGCTATTTCTTTTAACCTCAAACAACTTTTGCTTATGAAAATACCTACCCATAACAACCCTACTCATCAGAATATTAGGCTTGATTAAATCCTCCAAATTAAGCTGCTTAAGGATTAAAGCCTCATTCATGTCCCCTATCTCTTTAAAACCCATCTCCCCATCCACCTTTGACTGAGCTAAATTCCCCCACTTAACCCAATGCACTCTCCTACTTTCATCGCCTTCAGAGCCAGTCCTACACATTATAAGGCCTTGGGAAAAACATAAGAATAGTGCCCTAAATATTTTTTTTTCTCAAATAAAGAATTTATATAATATTGATGTTCCAACAATTGTTAGCTACTTATCTAAAAAATATAGAATTTTTATAATATATCAAGGGTGTGGATCGTGTGGTACAACTCATGAAAAAACTAACACCACCAAAATATAAGTAAGATCTTAGATTTTTTTTTTTTTATCAAGATAATGTTATCTTTCCTTTCAAAATGAAATCTAAATAAATATTACACACATCTTAATATTTTTTTAATCAAATTTTATATAAGACTTCAATTCTAAGTAGTGACCTAAATGTAACTATAAATTAAAAATAATGAACATTAATTAATAAATAAAATAGTTTTTTTTTAAATAAATAAAATAAATAGTAACTAGAATGATAGTGTAGTAATATGTAATAAAGGGAAAAGAAAGAAAAACTAAAGTTATGTTAAAAAATACATGTAATTCAATGTGCACTGTGTGAGGGAAAATGTGTATTAATGAGAGACATCTTAATAAAGAAAGAGCCAATGAAGAGGCAATAATGAATATTACAATAATGAATACTATTACTTTCTCTCTCCACGTTGACGTACTTGGAAAAAGAGTCAATAAAGAGGCATGGATATTACTGTTTTCTTTTCCCACACTGCTCACGTAAGAAAGTAACCAATGGATTTGGTGCCCCTTATTTTAATTGGGCCCTGGGCCTGGGCCGACCCTGATCCCCTTTAGAATCCAACCAAAAATTAGCCACAGACATACAAATCTCTTTACATAACCCAATAGGTAGCCTAAGAACAACATAACATAAATGGACAAATAATTTCACAGTTTTAATCAAATTTATCCTCCCAGCTTTACTTAAAAACTTGTTTTTCCAACTACTGATCTTAGACTCCAGACACTTTGACAAAGGCAAAAGTCTCCCTCTTTGATCTTTCAATACCTAAAGGGAGTTCCAAGTACCTTGAGGATTTGACAACTACAATCCCTTCAATGAGTTTACAAATTTCAGACATAGTTTGCTCAGGGTTTTTTTTGAAAAGAAATACTAGAATTGTGAAGATTCACAGTCTGGCCAAACACATAATTATACTTTCTCAAAATACCCAGAAGAATATTGGCATGAACAACATCAGCTTGGCGGAATATCAAGGCATCATCAGCAAAGAAAATATTGGATATAAAAGGAGCATTCTTGCTAATTTTGAGGCCACTGAAAGACAGGCTCAGAGAAGCTTGATGAATCAAATTTGACAAAGCCTCAGAAACAATGTTAAACAAGTAAAGGGACAAGGGATCTCATTGCCTTAACCCCCTAGAAGGAACAACACTACCCAAAGACTAACCACTTAGATTAAAGAAGAAAGAAGAAGATAGAAGAAGAACTAATACAAGTCCAAATCCACCTCAGAAAAGCATCACAGAAACTCATGCACTTACAGACCCTAATTAAAAAACTCCACCCAATCATATCATAAGCTTTTTTCATATCAATTTTTAAAGCCATAAAGCACTTTTTACCTTTTTTTTTCTACTGTTTCTAATAGTGAATACATTCATTAGTTATAATAACATTATCTAGGATTTGCCTATCAGGAACAAAAGCAGATAGGGATTGAGAAATGCAAACCTTAAGCACATCCTTAATCCTATTAGCCAAAATCTTAGCAATTAATCTATAAGTAACTGTACACAGACTAATAGGCCTATAGTTCACAATTTTTTTTTTTTTTTGATTTTTAACATTAGGAATAAGAGTAATAATAGTATGGTTTGTGGCTTTAGGAACACTCCCAACACTGAAAAAGTTAGACACAACAAGGCAAAGATCGAATTATAATTTTGTTTGATTAGTAAAAAACTCTCCCCTCTCGTGAAAAAAGCTTTCGACAACCTATCTCTACTGATTCGAGCCGCCTTCCTCGGTGGCGGGGCGGCGCCGGCCGGTGGTCGCTTCGACCGCCATCCCTTCTTTGCTATCCTGAACCTTCGGTGTTGCCGTGAAGTGCTCGAGCTTGTTGGTCTGCCCAACCCTAACTTCGCTGACGATGCACCGATTGGAGGTTGAGAGCTCTTGGGTCGTCAATTAGACAGCAATTGGCGCATCCAGGTCTCAATTGGAGGTGAGTTTCCCTATAATTTTCCTTTGTTCTTGTCTATGTATATGCGTGCGAAGGAAGGGCTTCGGGTGGTCCCCTTTATCCGGCGAAGCTCCGTTCGAAATTTTTTCGTTTGGGTGTCGGTGCCGTTGGTCTACGGTGATGCTGCTGGGTTTGTGGGTTGTGAGGCGAGATGGGGCTCTGATTGGGTGTCGGGGCTGAAGGCTCGTAAACCCTTCCTCCTTTCCGGCTAGTGGTGTTAGACGGCGGGGTATAGTGTTCCTTAGCTCGGCTAGTGGTGTTAGGCGGGCTCGGGCTGTGCCAGAGTGGGTGAGGGTTTAGATGCTCCTCCGGTTGAGGCGGGTTGTTTCGGAGTTTGGTTGTGTTCGGGTTCGACTTCTTGTATAGGCCTTGTGGCAGTTTCAGGAGCCGTCCCCCAGACTTGGACTAATATTTGATATCGACTGTTCTCCGCTGGTTAGGACCGACTGATTTGCCGTGGAAGGGTCTTCTGTGTTTTTATTTGTTTTGTTATGTGGTAGGTTTGTATTTTGATTTGGGCGTTTTGCCTGTGTGTCCATGTCCTGTGTTTATTTGTTTGGGCCGTTGGCCCTGTGTGCCCGAGTGTCAACTTATTATCCTGTTGGGATCAGACACTCGGGTATTATCACGTTGGGATCTTTTAGTAGTTTTCGTTGTAGTTTATGTTGTTGTTCAGTGTAGTTTCGAGTTTCTTATTCTAGCTTTGCTAGGACAGGCTCTAGGCGATCCTTGAGATCTGATTTCCAGTTTTATCAGTCTTTGGTTGTACTATTCAGCATTTGGCTGCTTTTTTCGCACTTTATGCGGGTTATTTATATAATACATCTATCGTTTTGGAAAAAAAAAAACAAGGCAATGATCAGACTTAATAATAAAACCAAACAGACTGGAAAAAAAGGGGGTGAGAAGCCATCAATACCTGGAGCTTTGTTGGGGTCCATGGACCACAAGACTTGCTTAATTTCTTTTTCAGTCACCTCAGCTGTGAGATTTTGGTTCATTGCAGGGGAAGTAGTTTTTGGGATAACTTTCAAGACAGACTCATAAAACACAGGCTTCTCATATTGAAACAACTTCCCAAAGAAATCCACTAGTTCTTCTAATACTTCATTTCTATTCTGACATGGCTCTTCATTCCTTCTACACAGGTTATCCAGACTATTTCTGTGCCTCTTACTTCTTACACAATTTTTGTCCCCTTCTCTAAGCCATCTAATCCTAGCTTTCTGTTTCCAAAACAGCTCCACAACTTTGTAAGCATGATGCACCTCCTTCTTGCATTCCAACCATTCATCCCAATCTCTTAGCCCACCCTTCTGTCCCAAAAGAGCCAACTTGGCATTACACTCTCTAATCTTGGATTCAGAGTTGGTAACCTGACCCTTTACCCAGCCTATTAAGCCCCACTTGACATTTCTCAGCTTTTTTTGAAACTTGTACACATCAACACCCCTAATTTTTTGAACACTTTCTTCAAATCCCTCCAACTTTGGCCATCTACTATCCAAGAAAAACCTTCTCTTTCCCACCCCTTTTTCCCTTTCATTCTCAAATAACATCATACTGTCATCAGATGAAATCAAAGGCATTTTTAAAACATAGGACTTAGGGAATCTGAGAAACCAATAAGAGGATATACATACCCTATCTAGCTTTTCAGCTACAAACTCATCTCCTCTCCTATTATTAGACCAGGTAAAGAAAGACCCTTTACTAGGACACTCAACCACACCCAAAATATGCAAGAACCTCCTAAAATGATTGAAGCTAGCAACCCCTCTCTAAATTCCTCCAGTTTTCTCCCCACTATTTAAAATGTCACTAAATTTCTCCTTTTGAACCATAAATCTCTCCATCTATGTTAAATTTATAAATTTTACCCTTTTTTTCTGTAAAATGCTATACGAATATCGTGAAATACGCATCCCATTGTAGGGAATGAACTTGAGTTTGGTCTCAACAAAATGACAAAATGAACTAAAAGTTAGGAAAATAAGATGAAAGAAATGGGTTAAAAAAGAGAAGAAGATGAATTTAGGCCTTGATCAATAAGATTGACTTAATATTGTGAAGAAAATGAGGATGTCGAATATCTTGCACCATCACTTTTTGTATATTAACTTTTGAACAACTACGTGCGGAGGAGCTGTGAAAGGATTATATATACAAATAAATTGAAGGGAATAATGTAAATCAAATGCTAAAATTCTCGTGGTACCATCTTCTCTAACACCAATTTTTTGGACGCAATCTTTAACATATTTTTTTTAAATGATCATTAAGTATCAATTTGCATAATGGAGGTGGACGTTTCATGTGTAGAAACAAATATTAGAGAAATCTCTAATTATTTGATAGATAATTAATATTGAAACAAATATATATTTTGAAACGTAATAATATAAATATCTCCAAGAAAAATGATACATAATCAACTTAGTGCACAACTAAGTTGACAACACAAGTGAAAACATCTACTTGCGCATTTTTTTTATTTTTATTTTTTTAAATATTTTTTACTTGTGTTGTCAACTTAGTTGTACACTAGGTTGACAATATAACATTTCTCTATTTTCAATTCATATAGCCTAAAATATATAAGCAGTCATAATGGGTCAATATTTATCAAAATTTCCAAACACAAGTTATTATTAGATGAGCAAGCCGGTGGTACATTGGGCTGCATAAATTGTACTCATAGTGAATCGTTGTAAAGTCTTACAACTGGCCGGAAAAACACATACAAACCGAAAATTCGGGCGCGCGACGGTCAACGAAAATGTGCAGTAGAAAGAGTTTATCGATCGCCTTTGCGATTGCATACGTGGGCCTTCTCTGCTGTGATATCGACGGTGCAATCGCTACAGTTCCTGAACTAGGATCCGCGCGTGTAGTCTTTCAGGTACCTTTTGTGTGATTCCTATTTGCGTGTGTGTGTGTGTGTGTGTGTGTGCGTGAATATGTGGTGATCGGAAATTCTGCGAGCTTTCCATATAAAGCAGTTTAGTTTCGTTTTGACTTATTGATGTTGTTACTGTTCGTATGTGCAAATTTATGTTTGAAGGTTGAAAGGGTTTGGGCTGTACTTCGATAAGAGTGAAGGAATGTATTTACGTTGGTGAAATTGTTTCACTTATTTCTTGTGGAGACTGTTGAGTCTTCCTTCTGTTATGTGAAAACATCTACGGGATAAGCATGTCTATCACTTATGCTTTTGATATATTTTGATGCTTGAAGAATTTAGGCGAGAGGGTTTAACTGAATCTTTGTAACTGCCTTGTCTAGTTGATTCATTGTCATCTCAAATGGGCGCAGTGTGCAGGGTTCATCATACGACACTCCCCTGTTTCTTTCTTGTATGTTTCTTTGTTATTTTCTCGTTGTTTTGTATATGGTGTTGAGATTAGAACCCAAAAACTTTGAAGAACCTCAGTTGATTGAAATGGAAAGGTGGTGTCTCTTTTGTGCTATGGTGATTATTGAAAAGGAATGTCACGTTTTCGAAATGCAGACAGATTATGGGGACATTGAGTTTGGTTTCTATCCAAGTGTTGCACCAAAGACGGTTGAACACATTTTCAAACTCGTCCGGTTGGGATGCTATAACACGAACCATTTCTTCCGGGTATTTTACTGTAAATTCACCGTGTGTAGAGACATTTATCATGATGGGTTGTGTTAAAATGAAAAAAAGGGGTTATCTAATACTTGAGATTTCGCAGGTGGATAAGGGTTTTGTTGCTCAAGTGGCTGATGTCGTTGGAGGAAGAACTGCTCCAATGAATGAAATGCAGAAGTTGGAAGCTGAGAAAACTATTGTTGGTGAATTTAGTGAAGTTAAACACGTGAGGGGTATACTTTCCATGGGAAGGTGATGCCAATTTTCAGGAACTCTATTCTGTTGAGCTGGATTTTTGAACTTTTCGTTTTTCAGTATATGCATTATTTAATAATATTAAGTAGGCTCTTGGAATGGGGGCAGGGTGGAGTTGGGTCTTTTAGTGCGTAGAGTGCGTTGGCGGGGGCCTATGCAGGGTTATGAAAATAGTGATAATTTCATTCATGTTTCTTGTAGTACAGAAATATATGTCTGCTGTAGGATATAAATACAAAAATCAGCATTATGCGGTCAATGTCCATGATATCTACGTCATAACCTCTCCACACATGTTCCCTTCTTATATAACGATCATTTCATATTAGTTAGTTTAATTCCAAAAATATAAAGTAGACAAATACTGATCAAGTATCTTTATATATTCTAATATGTAAGACATTACGAACCAAAATAAAAACATGGAAGCCTAGGAGCTGCCTAAGCTGCCAAGACTGTGCCTAACTTCATGACCACCTTGTCTACGGAGGCCACACAGTGGCCGTGGTGCCTAGATCAACTTTTAGATCCATTTGAGAGTGGATTAAGTATTAACCATCAGAACCATTCTGTAGAAATTCCTTTAGACATATTTGTATGAGCTGGATTTATTTTGAAATTAAGGATGTCTTTACAGATTGATGAAACATTTAGTTGTAGAACTTGCATAGGAGATAGCATTAACATTTCCAAAATTGTAGGTCTCCGTTAAATAAATTTGTTTCATTACAGATATTCTGACCCTAACAGTGCACAGTCTTCGTTCTCGATACTCCTTGGAGATGCCCCACATCTTGATGGCCAGGTATGCTAGACAACTTTACAATAGTTGGTCAAATACTTTTGTCGGAATATCACTTATGAGTCGTCCCACATTGATTTGATAGGGTAAAACCTCACTAAGGTGTACCTAGGCTCACCCTCTTATGGTGCACTTCACTGTGTGGGACCATCAAAATTTGACAACTTTCTCATTATGTTGCTTTATTTTTTTAATGTCTTAACATACTGTACCTTTAATAGTAATTGTTATTTTTGGGATATGTTTCAGTATGCCATATTTGGAAAAGTTACTAAGGGCGATGAAACTTTGAGAAAACTCGAGCAAGTTCCTACTCGAACGGAAGGAATTTTTGTTATGGTATTGCCCATCCTTGTCATTGTCTTGGCTTTCATCAGTTTCCTTTCTTTGTTTTGCCCAATGCATTTGTGTGGGATCCAGTAAATTTTGTAAAAGCTATTTCAATGTGGTTAAGATGATATGCTATTATTTCATATGGAAACTGGAGTTAGAGACTAGTCTGAAGTTTTACTGGAGTTTGATATTTCCTGTTGTAATTCAATGAGGTTTGGCTGTTCCATTTTCATCTCTTGTTATCAATACTTTTTGTTGGTAAAATAATATTTCCCTTTTTCTTTTTTCCAGCCAACTGAACGTATCACTATTTTGTCGACATATTATTACGGTATGTTCGAAAACCATGCATGAATGACTTGGTCAGTCATCTGAATAGTCTTTTTAACTTAGCCTAGATTGTTTAAATGAATTATCTATCAGTTTTATCCATGCCATCTTATCAAATTTACTCGTAAAAATTGTTAGCCATCTTCAAGTTCAAGTATTATTGTACTCTTTTTTCGAATTTTGTCTAAAATTGTTTTTAAATAATTTTTAATATTCTATCAAATGCATATATTAAATATTTGAATATGTATAAATTATTATGTCAATGAGCTAAGACATTTGAATGTTTCAATTTATCAAACAATTTAATAAAAGATGTTTTTATTAAAATTTAATGCTAAATACACTATATATATTTAAAAATATTAATAAATAAATACCGGTCCAACTAGGTTCAACCATAGTTTTTAAACCCGGCCAAGGAATCGACCCGGATAGGTTCCCAGGTCACGGTTCAACCGCCAGGTCACCGGGTCAATTGCTGAACTGGATAGTATTTTTACCATATAAATATGCATAAAGTAACAGAAAAAATAAAAGTTAGAATACAAATTTTGTATATTAGAGTGTTAATAATATTACATCTCATAATAAATACTTACTGTATAAATATGTATATACATAGTTCTTATTTTTAAAAATAAAATGATATTTTAAAATACGGAAATAAAAATATAGTGACCGGGTCAAACTTGGTTGACCCGGCCAGGTCAAGGCCCGTTTGACCTGATTTTGACCGGGACGTTGTCACCCAGTCCGAATCACCCACCCGGCCAATTCTGCTCCGGGTCGGACCAGTGAACCATTAACCCAGTTGCTTGACCGGTTTGATGACCGGTCGTTCTTAGAACCTTGGGAAAAAGAAATAAAGAGAAACTAGGGTATAGCAGCATGATGTCCTTTTTCATTCATTTTACTACATAGCCAATGGCTTCATGCTTTTCCAGCCAAATTATGTGATAGTGATACTTAAAGTGCTGTACTGACAGATGATGGGGTGCAGTCATCTAATTTAAAATCCAGTTTTAATTCTTCGCGGGTAGAACTTATTATGAGTGGAAAAAGTGCAAGCTCAGTCCTTGCCTTTATGTTTCTGTTCAAGTTTAATGAGTGTTTTGCTCAAACTCCAGATCTCATAATTCTCTCTTCTAAGTCTCAAGAAATTTTCGAACAAAGTGGTCCTTATGTGCGTTGATGTAAAGTTGTGCTTAAATATATGTTAATCGCTAAGTTTCTGCCATAACCATTTTCTGTCAAGTAAGTCTTTTTTTATTGCCTCCAGTACTATGATCCGTTCAGATGTAATGTGCATGTCATAGGTGCCATGCCAACAAGGCTGTTTCCAAATGAGTAAAAAGTGGAGAACTCATAACCAATTTACATTTACAGTTCTTCATGTGCTCTTGATTTAATTTTTTTTTTTTTTCCAACTATGAGGGTGTTGGTTGAATTTGTAGGCTTTTTAAAACATCTTATTATCGAATGCAGGCTTAACGTAAAGAACTAAATATTATTATGAAAAAGAACAAAACAATAAACACGGGTTTCTCCTTGGGAAAGTATCCCTCCCAAGCTTAGAGCCGCCAAACAATAATAATTCTCTCGTGCCATGTACTAAACACCAATTACTCACGTAAATAGAATACTAACACAAGTAAATAAACCCCAAATGAGCACCTTAAACCTATGTGCACGAAGCTCATTAATTATTCTAGATAATATAGTCTGTAACATCTTATAATAACATTTTATAGATCTTATAGAACATCATAATGTGGTAAGAGATATTTTGGTAGAGCAGCTTTTAAGCTACCAAAATGCAATGTTGAATTCTTATAACCTTTATTTAACAAGAAAGTAAGGAGTTGTTACTACCATATTAAGTTGCATAATTCCATTCTCATTTATCCATGATAGGTCTTTGATCCTTCTTAGTAGTGAGGAACATATGATTGTGGAATGGTATCTATCTAGTGTTGGGGTTGTTCGCTTGTTAATTCTCTTTCCTTCTCGGAGTTTTCAGATAATAAATACAATATATTTTATTCCTTTTAGATACCGAGGCGAAAACTTGTGAAGAAGACAGGTTAATACTGAAGAGGAGACTTGCTGCATCTGCTATTGAAATTGAAACACAGGTAAAGAAGAAAAAGAGAATAAAGAAAAACTGTAATTATCTGTTTATATGCAGAAACATTTTAATTTTACTCATAAGCAACGAACTTCTCCACGGACATTGCAGAGAATGAAATGTTTTCCGTAGCCTAGGAAGAGCCATCAGGCCACGCCAAACAAGTTGCTGTGAAGTAAGTTCATTCTTTGCTTTTCCTCATTCTGTGATGTATTTTGTGTTTTGATAAGTATAGTAATACTCGTTAATAGTCACTGGATGTTAACATAAAAGTTGCAACTGGAGGATGCTAATCTTTGTTCAATTCTGCTTTCCTTTTTCTTTTTGCTTTTCTTTTTAAGTTGGTTGGAAGCAATTTGATTAATTATCAGCTCTTCGAGTATTTCATTTTCTGCAATGTTTGATCCTGGATTTGTAGAGAACTTTCGACTGACATATCCCATGTGCAGAACATACTTGAAAGGCACGCAATATAAGTTTATTATACTCTTTCAGTGTGACATTTATGGATCATAAATCATGGTTCCTTGTGAAATTGTAGAATTTTCCTCTATGCTTTTAGTGAAGATCATTTATCTAGCATCTGGTCTACCCTTTTCAATTGGTCTTTACCCTATCATATCACAATATCTCCCACAGTTTGTATCATATATATATTTTTTTTTATCCTTATTATTAATTATTGATCTGTAATGATCACTACTGGGAAGTCCCTTTTAGGTAAGACACCAAATAAATATTGTATTAAGAAGCTTGAGGATGCTTGAGCTAAAACCTAAACTGAAGCACTCTTAACATTGGAATATCACTAGATTTACTGCTTAACCAGTGACATATTTCAGGTTGTGTTCATTGTACTTGCTAAATAATATCTTTGTTATTTGTTTATTATCTTGAAAACATGTGTTTATGAAGTCACAATTTCTTGTTCCCAAAAGCAGCGGCATGTGATGTGCAGCTTGCTTTCATATGTACCAATCTTGCTTAAATGTGGACCGAAACCTAAAACCTTTTACAACCTTAATACTGCTATAGTCGATTTTCAAATAAAGACACTAGGGACCTTCTCTTTGAGTGATTGATCTATGCATAATATTGTTATGTTTCTGTTGTGTTGTATTATTGTGTGGCTAATGCAGAATTGTGGGACCACACAAGTTTTATGCTGTTGGGCAAAATTGGTTGCTGAATTATTGAAACGGGTCTAGAGAAATATAATAATGATTGGGAAATTGATGCTAAGAACTTTGTCCTCAATCTTCCTGTTAAATCAAAGAATTGCCATGGCTGCAGTAGATATCTTGAATCACCTTTGAGCATATGATTTTCTTTCAGAAAATACTGACTTGAATGATATTATGTTCAGTAGAATTGCTGTAAGACTGCTCTACAATGGTGGCTTCATACTTTTAATTTAAGTGAAAAGTTCATCTTTTTTTTTTTTAAAATTTTATTTTTTTGAAATATGTTCTTAGTTACCACGAGACGTTCTTAAAGCAGACTTATTGATTTTTTTTTTTTTCTTCTAATATGGTCCTTCACCTTCTGATGTAGCCATGAAGGATTGATTTATATGCCGCTGTAGACCATTAAAGTTGAAAATGCTGCAGTCATGTGAGTCCAAATTCTGAATGGAACATCATCAATTAATGCTTTAGGTAAAACGTTTTCTGCATCAGAAGGGCAGCAGAGAATGTATCTAAAAGAAACACACCACATGGTTGAAGATGTTTGAACTCACTCACTCTCTGTTGTAGAGTGGTCCAATTTTTATTTTTATTTTTAATTTTACTTTCATTTGTAGGATTAAAGTAATGTAGTACTTGATTATCGGTATGGAGTTGCATTAAATTTGAACCCAATAAAAAGGTTTTTTAGTTTACGCTTCACACCCCACAGGTATGGGCAGCTGAGACCCGACATTATAGAATTTGACATTATGAGATTATAATCAGGTTATATATTATATTAAATGAACATCTACATGTGATATCTGTCTCAACTCTCGTTTCTGGTTAGAGCTGTTTAGTTCTGGCTTTTGATTATTATTCAATGTTGAACAATCTTTTAGTGAGACCAACATTCTTTTCAGGCCGAGTCAGATTGTTATTTTGAGCTGAGAGCCATCCATCTCTTGAAAAAAAGTTGTCATTAAATAATAATAATAAAAAAAAAAAACAGTTTTGACTTTGTATTATATTGTTAATATGGTTTGTCTGATGGTCTCTTTTCCGTTTGAAGTTGGGGATTGTTGCATGATTTATGGTGATTACCAGAAACAAAGATTTGAAACAACAAGTGTGTAAGGAAGGAACTTCATATACTTGACCCAATAAATGGCTCTTTTACCTTGCTCTTGGGTAAGGTTAGGTCATTATTATATATTTCACAATGTTGTGGTGCAACATCACGTGCCTGCTGTCTGCATTTATTGCTAAACTGAATTAGATTTCTCATAGTAGGAACAATTAAATGCAAGGAGATAATGGTTACATTTTACGCCTTCTCAATCATACTATTCATTTTCATTGCGAAAATGAAATATCAAATTAATAACAATTTGAATAAAGCATCACAACAAACGTG